GTGCAGGCGCCCACGAATACTCCGGCGAGGTTGGGCGCGCGGCAGGCTGATGGGGAAGAGTTTGCACCCGCTCGAAGCGGCGGACGGGCTCGCTTGCAGAGGGGCGCGCGAGGAGGCGCGGACGAGGCCCGGCAGGCGCAGGCTCCGGCAGCGCGCTCTCCGCGGATCCCTCCAGCTCCGGATCCCGTCTCGCGGATGGGTCCATCACCCCCGATCGTACCGCAGCCGACGCCAGCGCGCCGACAAAGCGACAACGAAGTGGCCGCGGCGCCGCAAACTGAGCGCGAGGGAGCTGCTGTGGGAAGAGCAACGCGCGGAATACGCGTGGGACGCGGCAGCCGCCGCGGACGAAGGGGAAACGAGCGAGGACGAAGAGGAGGTGGATCACGGGTTTCAAACAGGCGCCGCACCGGCGCAAGCGGCTACGCGAGAAACGCGGAAAGGCAGATACGAAATGGCGCAGAGGGCGGCGAGGATCCGCCTGGCGAGGAGGCAGAGGAGGAAGTGGAGAATGAGGGAAGTGACGGGGGTGACCCCGCTTTTAACCCTGAAAGAGAGGGGATGTTGGGTGCAGAAGCCGAGGAGGACGAGGATGAGTTGGAACTTCTGCTTCGGGGAGAGGAGCTCGCCAGACCCATGGTCCGAGGCGAACCTGCCAGCCGAGCCACAGCCGAAGGAGCGGGCCAAAATCCAACCCCAGGACGAGCCGCATCTGCAACTCCAATACCCAGAAATCGGACCGCGAGGCAGAACCGAGCCGCCCCCAACAATGCGGTTACCACCGCTCCAGCCAATGCCACGGCCCCAACGCCCGCCACCCCCAACCCAATCATCAGCGCTGACGACCTAGCAGGCCGTCTGGACCTTTTCGCAGACGTCGTCAACTGGGACATCTGCCCGCTACGCGACAGCAGACAGCCACCCCTTGCCCGCCACCCACCCCGCCCACTTCGCGAATCCTTCGCGATATGCCTGCTGACGCCACTGCTACACCTGGCGAAAAACCCGGACTCCATCGCAGGCTGGAAGCTGCTGATGTTCCTCCCGCGCATCCTGCTGCGCACCTCGTCAGCACGCACACCTGACTGGAAAGCCATGGGTGCAAGGCTGACACGATTTCGCCAAGGACAGTGGCGCAACCTGTACGACGAGGCAGCGGACGCGGTTACCAGCAACCCTCAACCACGACACGTACCTGACGACACTGGCAAGCTCTCGCGGGCCGAAGGCTTGGCGAAACGGGGGAATCTGGCGAAATCACTACAGACTCTGACTGCCACGCCAGTCTGCACGCCGAGCGCTGAAGTACTCAACGCGCTCAAAGCCAGACACCCAGACGCCGCCACGGCCATACCTTCCTGGGTGCTCGACTTCGCCCCAGAGAACGTCCCTGCCATCGCTGCCCGGGACTTCAGGCGACTGCTGGCAAAATGTCCCAACGGAGTGGGGGCTGGGCCATCAGGCACCACCTTTGAGCACCTCAGAGATGCGGCCCTTGGGAACGGGGACGTTTTCCTGCAGTTGCATGCACTTACCAACACGGCACTCTCTGGAAAGCTGACGGCGGACGTGGCGGAACTCCTAACAGCGTCACGACTGCTCGCCTTCTCGAAACCAAACGGTGGAACGCGGCCGATAGCAGTAGGCGAATGCCTACTACGCCTCGTTGCCAAGGCGGCCCTTTTCCTAGCCGCACCAGCGGCGCGTGAGCACTTCACCCCGCTACAGTTCGGAGTAGCAATCGCGGGAGGAATAGAGGCGGCAATTCACACAGCACGCACCTACCTGGAGGAATTCCCAGGAGCGACGGCGCTGCAGATAGACCTGGCCAACGCCTTCAATGCAGTCGAGCACGCGGCAGTGTTCGAGGGCTTGAAAGGCACCGACCTCGAGGCCTTAGTGCCCCTCGTTCGCTTCTCTTACGGCAACCCATCGGCGCTCTACCTCGACCATGACTTCGGAGCAGAACCCCTTAGGAGCGCGCGGGGTGTTCGTCAGGGGGACCCGCTAGGACCCATGCTGTTTGCAGCCAGCATCCACCCCTGCCTCGTCCAATCGGCGGCGGCACATCCGGAGGTGGTGTTTCTGGCGTATGCAGATGACATCACCCTGCTGGGGGAGGCGGCCAACTGCACGGCAGCCTTTGCACACCTCACGGAAGCCCTTCGACTCCATGGGCTGGCCCACAACCCCTCGAAGTGTGAGGCGTGGTCCGCAGCTGCGCTCGACCCCTCCACCTTACCTACCGGCATCACGATATCACAAGACGGAGTCCGCGTCCTAGGCAGCCCCATCGGCCCCCCCACAGGTTGCGCGTCCAGAGTTCGCGAGCGCCTCGCAGCAGCGGCCGAACCTCTCGCGCTCCTCACACAGATGGACCCCCAACTCTGCCTGCTACTACTCACCCGCTGCGTGAGCCGCCGCGCCTCGTTCCTGGTCCGAGCCACGCCCCCCGAAGCCCTTCCGCAGGAGGAATGGTCGGCCTGGGGGGAACATCTGCTCCACACCTACCTGGCCGCGGCACACACGAATGTCCCTAGGGACCGGGCAGAGAGGGACAGAACCTGGCACCAAGCCGCGCTGCCTGCGTCCCTAGGAGGCCTCGGCATTACTAACCCTGCGGTGGAGGGGAGATTCGCTTACCTGGCATCAGTTGTAGCAGCCTCCCACCTGCTACGCTCCTTCGGCGACGCGGCAAACCCGGCCCTAGCAGGACTGCTGCCGCTGATGGACGCTGACGGCGATTCCACCTCCCTGCTCCCACGACGCCTCGCAACCCTGGAAGCCGAGCTGCCACCAGACGGAATAGAGGCCCTGCAAATTGGGAGGCAAAAGCCTAACGGGCCAAAGCTGCAGCAAGCTCTCTCCCTCGCGGTGCACACCGCGCGCTACATCCGACTGCTGGATAGCTCGCGGAACATGGATCTGAACCCACTGTTTGGCCACACACAGAGACTACAGTCCCTCTTAGGCCCGGGGGCGGGGGATTGGCTGCTCGCCATCCCCCTGATCTCTTCCCTCCGCCTCGGCCCCTCCCAATTCTCCACCGCGGCATCCTTCCGCCTGGGACTGCCCTTACCTGTGCCGAGACGCTGCAATTGCCGATACCGCACCACCTTCCCGGACGATCGCTTGCCGAATCACTTGATGCGGTGTGAGAAAGGGGGGGGGAGAATCGGCACACACAATGCCCTGCGCGACGAGTGCGCGAAGATAGCGGCTGAAGCGGGATTCACGGTGCACAAGGAGACAACGGCATATTCACCGGTCGAAAACCTCAAAGCGGATATCTCTATCCGCCATCCCGACACCGGTGCAGTGTGGATTTGTGACATCACAGTCACAGACCCCGTCTCCCACCAGGACGAGTACGCGCGTAAGGCCCCCGGATGGGCGGCTAGGATGCAAGCGGACAAGAAGGAGACAAAATACGCCGGGCGGAGCCCGTGGGTGGGCTTCTACGCCATGGCCGTAGAGACCTATGGCTACCCCTCACCTGGAGTCCTGGATTTCCTTCGCAGCTGCGCGGAGCTAGCGGCAAAGCGGCGGTTTAACGCCTCCCCAAAGTCGAGGGAGGTGGCGAAACTACTTACCGAGTACCGCCAGCGATGGAGCGTGACCTTGCAGAGAGCCCAAGCCAACGCACTCAGGGATAAGACCCACGAGGCTCTTACCGCGGACGCGCTAGGCCTGCAGGGACCGTTCACTCCACTGAGCGAGGGCCAGCTGTACCAACTGATAGAGGACCCCCCCGGCCACTAGGGCCGGAAGGGAAAGGGGGCGGCTGTAGTGGTGTTTGGATAGGAGACTGCACCTGTGGCTTTGTTGTGCATGGCTTGCTCCCTTACCCTGTGTGTACCTTGATGATATTAATACGACGGACCGTTCGAGAGAGAGAGAGAGAGCGTTAGAGGGTGTGGTGGAGGGGAACCTCATCGGCACTGCGAGGTGCGTGCAGCCCTTTCGTCTTACTGTGAGCAGCGCACTGAGCAGTGAACATGGCACTGTCACAGATGCCTTCAGGGGCAGGTGGCGACGATGACGGGGAAGGAGGCGGGGCTGTTCGTGCCGCCCGGCACCATGGGGAACCTCATCTGCGTGCTCGTGCACTGCGAGGTGCATGCGTGCTAGCTTGTACGCGTTATGGTGCTCTGCGAGGTGCGTGTGTGTGTGTGCTTACTGCTTGTATGCGTTATAATGCACCATGCTTATATGCCACTCTCCTCCTGTTTTTCCGCCCCCTGCCTCCCTGCTCTTCCAGGTGCGAGGCAGTGAGGTGATTTTGGGGGCGGATTCACACACCAGTGTGTACGAGCAGGGGGGCGTGGTGACACTAGGGGGAGTGGTTTTGAGACGTCTCAAAACGAGCAGGGGGGCGTGGCCGCACTAGGGGGAGTGCATCTGCGCCCCACTTCCTTGTCTCCCCACTCTCAACCCCTCTCCACCCTACTCGCTCGATTCTCCCCCACAACCACAACAGGTGCGAGGCAGCGAGGTGATATTGGGGGCGGATTCGCACATCAGCGTGTACGAGCAGGGGGGAGTGGCGAGGCGACACTGGGGGGCGGGCGTGCATCCACGCACGGTGGTGAACAAGGCAGACGGCACCATGGACCTCAAGAAGGTGGAGCTGCCTGGCTGGCTGGCTGTCCTGTCCCCATTCCTCATCCCCTCTCTGTCCCCTCCACTTCTTCAACCCCTCTCTTCCCGCTGTCCTGCTCTTCCACTCCCTCCGTACTAGCACAGGTGCGAGGCAGCGAGGTAATTTTAGGGGCGGAGTCGCACATCAGTGTATACGAGCAAGGTGGTGTGGCCACACTGGGGAGCGTGCATCCACGCACGGTGGTGAACAAGGCGGACGGCACCATGGACCTCAAGAAGGTGTTGCTGGCAGTCTGTCTGCTCCCCCTAACCTCTACCCCTCGCTGTCCTGTCTTTCTCAACCCCTCTCTTCCCACTCTCCTGCTCCTTTCCTGCTCCCTCCCTCTCTGTTCTCCCAGGTGCGGGGCAGTGAGGTTATCTTGGGTGCAGACTCCCACATCAGTGTATACGAGCAAGGTGGTGTGGCCACACTGGGGAGCGTGCATCCACGCACGGTGATGAACAAGGCAGACGGCACCATGGACCTCAAGAAGGTGGAGCTGGCTATCAGAAAAGACGACGAGCATTACCCGGTTACCAGACTCATCTGCCTCGAAAACACCCACAACAGGTGAGGTCCTAGGGGTCTTTCATTGATGGGGAGGGGAAGGGCAGCATAGCATGGTGTTGAACAGGGCAGGCGGACGGCACCATGGACCTCAAGAAGGTGGAACTGGCTATTCATTAACACCATTCATGCGAATGTCAATGCCATTCATATCGGTGTCAATACCATTCATATGATCAAATACAGTGTCATTGTAATCCATATCAGTGTCAATGTCGCTCCTACCAGTGTCAATGTCACTCCTACCAGTGTCAATGTCACTCCTATCAGTGTCAATGTCACTCCTATCAGTGTCAATGTCATTCCTATCGGTGTCAATGTCACTCCTATCAGTGTCAATGTCACTCCTATCAGTGTCAATGTCACTCCTATCAGTGTCAATGTCACTCCTATCAGTGTCAATGTCACTCCTATCAGTGTCAATGTCACTCCTATCAGTGTCAATGTCACTCCTATCAGTGTCAATGTCACTCCTATCATTTTCAATGTCACTCCTATCACTGTCAATGTCATTCCTATAAGTGTCAATGTCACTCCTATCAGTGTCAATGTCACTCCTATCATTTTCAATGTCACTCCTATCACTGTCAATGTCATTCCTATAAGTGTCAATGTCACTCCTATCAGTGTCAATGTCACTCCTATCATTTTCAATGTCACTCCTATCACTGTCAATGTCATTCCTATAAGAGTCAATGTCACTCCTATCAGTGTCAATGTCACTCCTATCATTTTCAATGTCACTCCTATCACTGTCAATGTCATTCCTATCAGTGTCAGTGCCACTCCTATCAGTGTCAATGTCACTATCTCAGTGTCATATCTGTATCATTTCTCACTCACGCCAGCCTCATTGTCACTCAAATCAGCACCAACGTCATTCATATCAGTGTCACTGTAAGTCAGTCATATTATGTTAAAAGCACAGCGTCACTGCCTTCTGGTCCGTCCTCTGCCCTACTCTCTCCCTTTCAGGTGCGGTGGACAGTCCAGTCCATAACCATGGAATGCACATAGCGACTAGCGGAGCTGATATCTTGGTATACGCTCCACTCAAATGCTACCAGCCTGTCCTGCCCCCTGTGCTTTCCACCTTCAACGTTTGCCTGCTGCTTTCTATGCTCTCCCCTGCGTTCTCCCTTTCAGGTGCGGAGGGCGTGCCATAACAGTGGACTATACAGAGCGGCTAGCGGAGCTGGCATCGTGGTACGGGCTCAAGTTTCACATTGACGGAGCGAGAATATTCAATGCCGCTGTGGTGAGTTGTGCAGGGGAATAGGAGCCATACGAATTTGGGTGTTCAATGCTGCTGTGGTGAGTTTTGTCCCTGTTTTACTCTACTGCTAAGAATTTGGGTTCTGAGATCGTTTTGAGCACTTAGTTGTACACAGAGCGGAAATCTACTGCTGTTTTTTCCTTTGCTTTAAGCCTACTGCACGCACGCAGCTCACTGAGCTATGTCTGGATCTCGTGTGGTGAGTTGTGCAAGGGGGGGACCGGGATGGGACCCGTGTGTGTGCTCGTAGCATTACATGTTGCTTCCTTCACCAGCACCGAGGATTACACAGGGCGGTTGGTGGAGCTGGCATCGTGGCATCATGGTACCACGTGAGTTTCACGATGTTGAAACTTGAGGATTACACTCAAGTTTCACATTGACGGAGCGAGAATATTCAATGCCGCTGTTGTGAGTTTTGCAGGGGAATAGGAGCCATACGCTCATAGCTGTATACTTTTAGCTGTAATCTTGTAGGCATACACTTGTAACGGTAGCAGTACACTCTTAGCCATGCACTCAATCAATGCATTATAGCCTAACCGCGTGCTTGCTGTTCATGTCCTCTCGGTGCTGCATTGTGCCTCGTGCCAGGCTCTCTAGTTGCCCATGGATAACCATGTCCGGTCGGTTGGCACAGAATGTTCCCGTTTCATCCCCCTATGCGTCTATTATGCGTGCTCTTTGCCTGCGGCTGTTGGTTCGATTTTTTAGGCGCCTCAAAAAATGTTCCCGTTTCATTTCCCCTATGCGTCTATTATGCGTGCTCTCTGCCTGCGGCTGTTGGTTGTTTCCAGGCCCTCAGAGTGCCAGTGGATCGCCTAGTCCGCCCGGCACACAGTGTTTCTGTGAGTGTACGGGGGGAGGAAAGGAAGGGGGGGGAGGAGTTGTTTTGTGAGAAACAACGGATCACAGAAATGAATGAGTAGACAAGGAACATAAGCTAGGATATTTGTTTCTCTCCTCTCGTGCCCTCTGTGTCTTTGATGCGCCTCCAGAGCTGAACTGCCCTGTTCTGAGCACTTTCTTTGGCTCTGCTTGAAGCGGGTTGTTCTGTGCTTAGCACACTTGTTATAGTATGTACCTTCACGTGGGAACTTGGCTTGCCTGCTGTCTTTTGAGGCGCCTCAAAAACCTTCACGTGGGAACTTGGCTTGCCTGCTGTCTTTTGAGGCGCCTCAAAAACCTTCACGTGGGAACTTGGCTTGCCTGCTGTCTTTTGAGGCGCCTCAAAAACCTTCACGTGGGAACTTGGCTTGCCTGCTGTCTTTTGAGGCGCCTCAAAAACCTTCACGTGGGAACTTGGCTTGCCTGCTGTCTTTTGAGGCGCCTCAAAAACCTTCACGTGGGAACTTGGCTTGCCTGCTGTCTTTTGAGGCGCCTCAAAAACCTTCACGTGGGAACTTGGCTTGCCTGCTGTCTTTTGAGGCGCCTCAAAAACCTTCACGTGGGAACTTGGCTTGCCTGCTGTCTTTTGAGGCGCCTCAAAAACCTTCACGTGGGAACTTGGCTTGCCTGCTGTCTTTTGAGGCGCCTCAAAAACCTTCACGTGGGAACGTGGCTTGCCTGCTGTCTTTTGAGGCGCCTCAAAAACCTTCACGTGGGAACTTGGCTTGCCTGCTGTCTTTTGAGGCGCCTCAAAAACCTTCACGTGGGAACTTGGCTTGCCTGCTGTCTTTTGAGGCGCCTCAAAAACCTTCACGTGGGAACTTGGCTTGCCTGCTGTCTTTTGAGGCGCCTCAAAAACCTTCACGTGGGAACTTGGCTTGCCTGCTGTTGACGTGGCAAATTAGCTCGCCTGTTTCTGCTCATGCGGCAGCTTGCCCTACATGCTGATGCTGCTGCTGATGTGCCTGCCTGTTTGCCTGGCAGGTGTGCCTATCGAAAGGACTAGGAGCGCCAGCAGTCAATGTGATTTGTGAGACGTCTCAGAACATTTTTTGTATCACCTGCTGATGTGCATGTGCCTGCCTGTGTGCCTGCCCATCTGCCTGCCAGGTGTGTCTATCGAAAGGCTTGGGAGCGCCAGCAGGCAGTGTGATTGTGGGCTCCGTGGAGTTCATCGCCAAGGTGTGCTGTTTAGCTAGCGGTGCATTGGCTGCATTGGGGCATGGCATGTGGCGTTTTGGGGTGCAATCACACAGCTCTCTCTTGACCGCCAGCAGGCAGTGTGATTGTGGGCTTTGTGGAGTTCATCGCCAAGGTGTGTTGTTTATTGGTGCATTGGAATAGCCAAGGTGTGTTGTTTATTGGTGCATTGGAATAGCCAACGTGTGTTGTTTATTGGTGCATTGGAATGGGTTTCTATTCTTAGCGCCAGCAGGCAGTGTGATCGTGGGGTCTGTGGAGTTCATCGCCAAGGTGCGTTCTTTACCGGTGCATTGGTTCCCTAGAAGTATGTGGCATGTTGGGGTGCAATGCAATCGCACATCCTTCTCTTCAGCGCCCAAAGGCAGTGTGGTTGTGACTGTGGGGTCTGTGGAGTTCATCGCCAAGGTGCGCCTTGGTGTTGCTTTGTTTCGCAAGGTGTTTGAGGAATTCTCAGAAATATCTTGGTGTGTGCGTGCTGTGCACGCAATGGGGTCTGCTGCGTTGCTTCCTCTTGTTGGCCTGTGTGTGGGGGGGTGGGGGGGGGTTCTGCTTAATAATCAAATCCTTTTTCTGATTAAATCCTTCTGCTGGGCTGCGCCAGCAGTGGGCAGAGTGATTGTGGGATCTGTTATTTGCACTTATCTTCTCTCTGCACTGCTCTGCGCTGCATTGTGTTCTCATGCTCTCCTGGAGCGGTTCTTTTTTCACGCGACCTACTCCCTCGCTTCCCAATCTTTTGGCTCCCTTCAACCCCCCACTATGCTCCCCCTGAAGGCTCGTCGCCTGCGCAAGGCACTGGGCGGCGGCATGAGGCAGGTGGGCGTGCTGGCAGGCAGGCAGCACTGCTGCCCTCTAACCTCCTCCTTTGAACCCCCCAATTTCCCTCCCCCTACAGGCTCGCCGGTTACGGAAAGCACTGGGCGGGAGCATGAGGCAGGTGGGCGTGCTGGCAGGCAGGCAGCACTGCTGCCCTCCTATTCACCCCCACCCATTGACCTCTTTTCCCCATCCCCCTACAGGCTCGCCGGTTACGGAAAGCACTGGGCGGAAGCATGAGGCAGGTGGGCGTGCTGGCAGCTGCGGGGCTCGTGGCGCTTCAGGAGTCGGTGCCTCGGCTTATCCGAGACCACCAACGGGCCATGCAGCTCGCAGGTACATGCACTGGTATGCACCTGTGTGGAGTGAAGCGCTTACCAGTGCTGGCAACAGCAGCGGGGCAATGCTGGCAACAGCAGCGGGGCAGTGCTAGCAATGCAGGAGTCAGTTCCTCGGCTCATCAGAGACCATCAACGGGCCATGCAGCTCGCAGGTACACGCTGGTACATGCTGTGCTGCTCTGGTGTGCACGTAAGTGCAATGTCAGGTGGGGTGGGCACACTGGCAGCGGCGGGGTTGGTGGCCCTTCATGAGTCGGTGCCTCGGCTCATCCGAGACCACCAACGCGCCATGCAGCTCGCAGGTATGCTACAGTGCTGTGGACGGTCTACTTACCTGTGATTCCCCTGTGTCTGTTTTTGAGGCGCCTCAAAAATCGCCATGCAGCTCGCAGGTATGCTACAGTGCTGTGGACGGTCTACTACTTACCTGTGATTCCCCTGTGTCTGGTTGACGTCCGTCCGACCATATGCAGGAATGGCACCTGAATCGGTTTGTGGTTCTGGTTGTAACCTAGCAGACCGACTCTTGTGCAGGCAGCAAACCAGTGTCCTGTCTCGGCCTTATAACCTAACCACTTCCTCGATTTCAATTTTCTTCTTCTCCTTCCTCCCTCCTCCTCCTCCTCCTCCTCCTCCTCCTCCTCCTCCTCCTCCTCCTCCTCCTCCTCCTCCTCCTCCTCCTCCTCCTCCTCCTCCTCCTCCTCCTCCCGCTCCTCCTCCTCGGTTTCTGAGGCGCCTAAAAAAATCACTTATTTTTCCTCCCTCTCGATCAATTCTACCTCTGCAGAGGGGTTGGATACACTGGATGGACTAGCCGTGGATGTGAGCACAGTGGACACCAACATTGTGAGTAGAATGGTGGTGAGAGTGGCAGTACAGTGGATTTATGCTGTGGGTGAAGATTCGGCAACTGACGCCCCTCGAAAGGATGCATTGGATGGGCTAGCGGTGGATGTCAGCATAGCACAGTGGACATCAGGTGACTTTTGAGTCGACTCAAAAGTGGATGTCAGCATAGCACAGTGGACATCAGGTGACTTTTGAGTCGACTCAAAAGTGGATGTCAGCATAGCACATTTGACACCAACATAGTGAGTACAGAGGTGGTGAAAGTGATGATACAGTGAACTAGGAGTTTTGAGGCGCCTCAAAAGTGATGATACAGTGAATTAGGACTTTTGAGGCGCCTCAAAAGTGATGATACAATGAATTAGGACTTTTGAGGCGCCTCAAAAGTGATGATACAGTGAATTAGGTGAGCAGTGAAGTGTTCACAAGTGACTGAGGCCCCTCAACTGGATACACTGGATGGGCTGGCTGTGGAATTAAGCACAGATGACAGCAACATTGTGAGTGTGCCGGTCATCAAAGTTGCAATGGCACCCAATTTGCCACCAAAAGGGGGAAAGGAAAGGAAAGTAACCAATCAAACCAAAACGTGCCCCTCGGTTTTCTCGATATGTGTTGCATTCAGGTGACAATGGATGTGATGATAGGTGATTGGCCCATCGGAGCCAAGGAGCTGTGCGCACATGATTTCTTCGTAGCATGCCTAGAGCCTGATACATGTTAAATTCGTTCTAACATGCCCTTGATCTGTGCTTCATTCAGGTGACAGTGGATATGAAGGCCGATTGTCCTATAGGAGCTGAGGAGCCAACGACCTGTTTCCCTTTGAGTTCTTTCTGACATACTCTATGCGCTCTTGATCCATGTGTCATGCAGGTGACAATGGACTTGAAGGCCGATTGCCCCATTGGAGCTTAGGAGCTGGCCCATAACCTGCACAGTGTGTTGAGCTCTTTCTCACACGCCCTGTGCTCTCGATATGTGTTGGTTCGTTCAGGTGACAATGGACGTGAAAGCCGATTGCCCTATAGGAGCTGAGGAGCTCTGTAATGCTCTGCGGCAGGCGGGCGTTCTCACCACGCTGCGCAGCAACAACAAGTGAGCGTGTCAGCCAAGGCACCTTGAATAATGTAAAATCTCTGCATTGCTCTGCAATGCTCTGCGGCAGTTTGGCGTTCTCACCACTCTGCGCAGCAAGCAACAAGTGAGTGTGGTCCGCCCAAACAAAGCATCTGGAATAATGAAATGGTCCGCATGCTCTGCAATGCTCTGCGGCAGGTTGGTGTTCTCACCACGCAGCGCAGCAACAAGTGAGTGCGGTCGGCCAAGTAAATTGAGCTCGTTCGGATAAAGCGAGTGCAAATAGAGCACCTGGAGAGGACATACTCTGCATGCTCAGGAATGCAGTCTAGCAGGCTGGCGTTTGCACCACTGTGCGCAGCAACAACAATTGTGTTCGGCCATTGTGGCGCATCCGTCAGTGAGCACCTGCAACAAACAGCACCATGGTGGCTTGCTGCTCCAAGGAATCAAGGTGACTTTTGAGTCGACTCAAAAGTCAACAGCACCGTGGTGGCTTGCTGCTCAAAGGAGTCTTTACATGCTCTGTAGGAGGCTGGAGTTTTCACCTCTTTGGGCAGCAACATCGAGTGCGTTCGGCCAAAGTGTGCATCACGAAGTGAGAACCTGCAACAAACAGCAGCATGGTGACTTGCTGCTACGAGGAATCATATGCATTCTCTCGTGATAAAAGAGTGTTCTTGAGATGTCTCAAAAACTCTCTTTTATCTCTTGAGACGTCTCAAAAACTCTCTTTTATCTATTGAGACGTCTCAAAAACTCTCTTCTATCTTGTGGCGCATCATTAAGTGAGCACCTGCAGCAAACAGCACTGTGGTGTGGTGACTTGCTCCTCAAAGAATCATCTGCATTCTCTGCGGCAGACTGGCGTTCTTACCACCCTGCACAGCAAGCAACAACCAGTCAGCTTGTTTTAATGAGTTGCAGTGTGATGACTGTTTTTGAGTCGACTCAAAAACATTCTCTGCTGCAGGCTGGTGATGAATTGCAGTGCAGCAGTGTGGTATTTCGCACCACCCACCAAAGAAATGGACCGAAAAGGTGGTTGAGTCTTCGCATTTTAGCTTACATGTGGGATGCTTTTGGCTATGGTATCAACTTGGCGTCTGCGTTGATTGGTAGTATGTGTATGATATTCTTATTCCACTAACTTGCTTGATTTCCTATTCCCCCCCTCTGATCTTCCTCTTCCAGGATCCGAATGGTCACACATTACCATATCACAGCAGAAGACATACGATACACTCTCGCATGCACACAGGTACATTGTTGAGTTAGATTCATAGTCCGGTAGGTTCGAGTTGCTTTGTCCATCACTGGTGTTGTATTAATGTTTTCTGCCCTAACATTGCTCTATTGTGGGTTCTGTGGTTTCCTCCTTTTTTGGGAATGTTGAAAACGTGCAGCAAATTTTGCTGAAGTCATCCCTTGAGGAGGAAGACTCCACGTACATATGACTCCACGTCATTCCAAGTCAGAGAGGCAAAATCATGTAGCTTATGCATGAACCAATAGGGATTGCAGGACTGGGTACAGAACCAGACCCGGTGTTATACAGATCGACTTTTGTAAACAAGTCTGGCTGTAGTCAAGGTTTTGGATACTGGAAAAGCTTGCGGGCACTTACAGATCTGACAGAGTTGAGGAATTGCGCGAAAAGGTCATTTCAAAAGGGTTGGGACTAAATTATCCAATTGGCTTACCGTTCAAAATCGATGAAATGCATGAGATCCATGTTAAATTGATGCTGTATAATCAAGCTCCATGTGTGACACAGAAAGCATATACACGTTGCGGCCCACCCCCAGTAGCATAGGGAATGGCAAAAAAATTATAGCCCCTACCAAAGAAAATGCAACCACGGTCAACAGATATCCCACCATAAACAGAAGCACCAGGCGAGAAGGACCATAGGATATTTCCTGATGCAGCATCAAACGCGTACACATGCCCCTCAATGTCCATCGAACCTGCGAACACCACCCCATTGGCTGCGGAAGGAAGCATTGCAAGTGCTGGGGCTATTGGATTGGCGGTTGACCACAACACAGCCCCCGTTGCAGGTTCGAGCGCAACCCAAGCACTGCCATTAGTGACTGTAGCGGAAGGCAAAAGAGTAAAATTCTTTAAATAACTGTTCTCAATTCCCACGTAAATTCTCTCCAGGTCAGTTGCAATTCCCCACGACGCGCCTCCTAGAAGCCCCCCTGGGCCAGCAGCTGTGGACCACACAATTGATCCATCTTCACGATCAAGGGCCCAAATTATTCCAGACTTTTGGCCCGCAACTGCAATGTCACGTTTCGCCCGCTGGTGTCCATTTCCTTTCGAAATGTTGGTTTCGATAGACATTAGCAGAGGAGCCATTCCAAAATCATAATCCTCGCCTGGAGTAGGAGGGCAGTTAGGCGAAGGCGTTTCCGTGATGCACGCTATGTTCCACGCATCGAATGGGCTCAGGTTTGTCGCCCACCGTACGTACCCACTCGAGAGGTCGATAGCGAGGATAGAGTCGAAGTAGTTTCCTGGCTCTATGCATTTGACGGGAAGGGTCCCGCCGCTTTCTTCTTGGTCCTGCTGGCACTGCGAAACGGAATCAGGCACTCGATAGTTGTTACCAGTCGCGACAAAAACCAGCTCCCTCGCCTCGTCGATTGATGGGTTCGCGCCCCACACGGCCGCGCCGGCATACAGGCTGGCGTTCCCGCCGTTGGGCGGCAGAGTGAAAGTCTGCCACACTTTTGCGCCGCTCACGATATTCAACTTCACGACGCTTCCAATGAAGGTGCAGCAAGGGTAGGTCGGATTCGACGCGAACACCTCTTCCGCAGATGAAACGCCAACGTAGAGCCCGTTTCGATACGCCGTACCGGACCCCGTTACAACTGCCGCGGGATGCTGATCAACGAGCGTTTTCCAGACCAGGTCGCCGTCGCTACGTCGCACCGCCAAGACGTACGCAGGCCCGTACACGCTGATAATCAGGAGGTTTCCGAGAAACCCGCTGGAGTCGACAACAACAGGAGTGGCACGAGAGTACGGATCGCGACTCTGAAAATTGTCCTGGTCGATTCCATAATCCGTCCGAATGCGCTTCTGCCAGACGGTAGCTCCCGTGCTCCGCCTTACCGCGTAAAGGTACCCTGCCGCGTCGGGGAAGTAGACGAAATCTCCGAACACAGCGGGCGTAGCGGTGACGTCGCCTTGAGTGGTGAATTCCCAAGATAATGCAAGATGGGATGCGGAAGAGGGGGTAATCTGGTGCTCAGTCTTTGCCCACCGGCGGTTCAGGAGGTCGCCTCCGTGAGTGACCCAGGAGCCGTGCGCGATAGGCAGAAAGGAGTGGAGCATCGAAACCAGCAGGAGCAGAATCCACGAGGCGCGTTGAGAGTTAGCCATGGCTTGCAGATTTCCAAATTGCGAGGGAGTTGGGAGTTCAGCTCACAAAACTGGAGCACCAATTCTTGAAAACAAGCGCACAATCGAAAATTGTAAATCCTGCAATATTTGTAACCAATGTCAGCAGGTGCACTGGCGAAGATTCCACTGACAGCTGCGAATGTTTCTTCCAGTTCTTCGCCACCGACCGATGCCCAGCCGACCTCGCAGACAAATGATGCTGTTTCGCTGCTGCAAAGCTGAGAGGCTGGGTTACTGGAAGGACACAAGCTACCTACCGACCATTCAGCAGGCTTTGGGGCACGACCTTTCGGCGTGGCGAGGGGCAGAGTATTGAAACGGAAAAGTTTTTGTGTTTTTTCACTTTCAGGTGCTAGTTTTGAGATTCACAACCACACTCCACCCACGCTAAAGTATTTCCAACATTCCAAATATTTCCAACCTTCCAAAGCAGAGATTGTTGCTGAAAAGCAACTTTCTAAGTGTAAAAGCTCCCAGAGGTAGCCTTTTGACACCACCCCTAAAAGATACAATCTACCCTAAAACTTGTTCTGCACGGATTGATGCATGCATGTATGAACATATACAATACCAACTTTAACCCCTCCATTCTCTTGTGACCTGATCCTGCTCCCAGCCGAGGTTAGTTGACACCTGAAAGGTTTGTGAGACACCTCAAATACACACACGATAGGCTAGTTGCCTTAACTGACTACTTAGCCCCCCATCTCCCCCCCCTCCTCCCCCCCTCTCCCTCCCCCACCCCCTCCATTCTCTCGTAGTTGGCTATAAAAAAAAAAAAGGGCCTCAGGAAATCACTTCATCCCCTCCATTCTCTCGTGGTTTGTTCCTGCCCCAAATCGAGGCCGAGTCACCTGATTGGTTAGAGGCACCTTTGGTTCCTGCCCCAAATCGAGGCCGAGTCACCTGATTGGTTAGAGGCACCTTAAAGAGTAAAACAATCTGCTAGGCTCGCCAAAAGACTACTTCACCCCCTCCATTCTCTCGTGGTTGGTTCCCGCCCCAAATCGAGGTCGATTCACCTGAATGGCTAGAGGCACCGCCCTCCCTACATTTGCTCTCTCCCTCACCGTCCCCACACCCCCTCCATCGTCCACTCCCTCTTCCACACCCACACCCCCCGCCATCCCTCCTGCTCCCCCTCCTGCTCCTGCGCTGTTTGATGCCTGCATCTGCTGCTGTTGCTGCTGCTGCTGTTGAACCTGCTGGTGCTGCCGCTCCTTCACTCTCAATGCAGCGACCAACGGGGAAGTATACTGCTGCTTACCCACAGGCAGCTGAGGCGGCCGCGGGCTGAACCGAGCGTTAGGAGGCGGATTCAGGGAGTTGAACTGCGCAGGGGGGAACGATCCAACTCCGGCAGGGGAGGGAGGGCCAGCAGCGCGACGCATGGCGAGTGCACCCAATGCACCAGGAGTGCCTAATCCCCCGCCTCCCAGTCCTCCTCCTCCTGGTGTGCCTGGGCCCCCTCCTGCCCCGGGGTTCAAGAAACCCATGGGCGAGGCGGGGGGCACGCGGAGGGGGGTGATGGGAGCTGGAGATGCTGACAGGCCGGCATTGTCTGGTGTGGGGTAGGGAGAGAGGTGAGGGGGCGGGGGAAAGGGGGAAGGCAGGGAGAAGGAGGGAAGACGGGTTGAGGGGAGGAGGGGGAGGAACGGGTGATGGGGGCTGGCGATGCTGACAGACCGGCATTGTCTGGTGTGGGGTAGGGGGTGAGGTTGCGGGAAAAGGGGTGGAGACGGGGTGAGGAGGGGGTAAGAGAAAAGGGGAGAGGGAGAAGAAGGGGTGGGGGGGGCTGTTGATGCTGACAAGCCTGCATTGTCTGGTGTGGGGTGAGGATGGGGGTGAAGGGTTGACGGGAGGGGGGAAGACGGGGTGAGGGGGGGAGGCATGCGGAGGGGGGTGTGGGGGCTGGCGATGATGACAGGCAGGCACACATTGTCTGGTGTGTGGAAGGGAAGGAAGAGTGGGAGGAAGGCAAGGAAGGTTAGGTGGGGGGGGGAAGAGTGGGAGAAGGGGAGGGAGGAGGGGAATGGGTTGGAAGGGGGGACTGTCACGTTGGGTTGCGGGCCACTGCTTCTGGCTCTTAGCTAAGCACGGTAACTGGGGAGCCAGGGAGTAGCCACCGTTGTTCCATACCAGAGAGATTGAGCAGCGAAGCAAGCGATTTAACAACTTGAGTCACGGCGGGGCGCTGCTTCTGGTTCTCATACGTGCTGTTCTTAAAGAATCAGGGAGTAAGCAACATAGTAGTTCTGTACGAGTGAGGTCGAGCAACAGAGAAGCGACTCCACGACTTGGGTCATGGTGGAACGCTGCTTCAGGATTTCAGCTAAGCACTGTTTGTATAAAACCAGGGGATAGGGAGAGTAGTTCCATACCTGTGAGGTCGAGCAGCGGAGTGAGCGACTCAACCACTTGGGTCATGGTGGGACGCTGCTTCTGGTTCTTAGCTAAGCACCAGAGCGCCAACGCAGCCACTTTCTGCGATGCCTTGGCTGAGTACTTGCCCTCAAACCCCGGGTCCATGATACGGAAGAGACGACGGCTGGTGGGAGGGGAGAGGCGGAAAGGAAGGAGAGGAAAGAGGGGAAAGTGGGGAAGAGAAGTGAGTGAATGACAAAGATGCCTTGGCTGAGTACTTGCCCTCGAACCCCGGGTCCATGATGCGGAAGAGACGGCGGCTGGGGGAGGAGAGGAACGAGAGGAAGGAGAGGAAAGAGAGGAAATCGGGGAAGAGAAATGAGTGAAGATAAGATAAAGACGAAGATGCCTTGCTGAATACTTGCCCTCGAACCCCGGGTCCATGATGCGGAAGAGCCGACGGCTGGGAGGGAGGGC